GAAGCTCCCTGCAGTGCTGTCCCTTTGAAGTGAGGACCCAGCTACCCAGATGCCCAGTCTACACCTGGACACCACGTGGTGATGACATCACTTCAACTGTCCTTGTGAAACCTTTGTAATTTACCTGGTTCATGTTCAGTTACCAATATATGCTCAGTGTAATCTTACAGGATGTGTGTTCAGACCTGAGCTGGGACTATTTCTGAATGGATAAGGAACACCTCTGCTGGGTTATACATAATGGATCATCAGATGCTTTCCAGGTGTCACATCCTCCAGGAGTCTTTCCTTGATCCACAGTGGGGAGCCATCTCTCCTCCATCAGTGCTTCCCATACATCAACTGTGTCCCTCACTGTCCACTTCTGTGGCAGTTGTGAAGCTTTGTTTCTTCCTTCAGTTTTTAGAACAGAGAGCAAAGCACGTGCTTTTGAAGTATCTGTATCCCTGGTGAAGTGTCTGGAATAAAAATCTGTGTTGAATTTATGTAAGGTTTGCAGTTTTTTTTGTTGTTGTTATTGTTGTTAAATTCTCTGCCTTTGTGTCACCTGCGTTGTAGTTGAGACATTTCATGCCCGACTTCAAGTCTTGCTTGGCCAAGGGATTTTATGTTTTCCTAATTCTACAGTTTTTTCTCTGAACCTCTGAGAGTAAATACAATGTTGCCTCTTACTGATTCTGTTATTCAATTAGGGAAGTATTAGTGTGAAACTGTTGTTCCAAGTGCTCTAAACTAAAAGATCAGGGAAGGATGAAGGTCTTCCATATTCTGTGTGGTTTATGGTCAAACAGCAGATTTATTACAATGCAGTTTGGTAGAAATGTAGACTCTGTGGCCTGAATTATAATTTCATTTTAACAGAATCATTAGAAGATGGATCGATGCATTGAAGGTTAAGAGGCACCTCATGGTGGTGATACTTGAAATATGGCCCAAGGGCATCACTGAAGAGAGAATAAAAAGTGAGGAGTGCTGCTCTTCAGGACTGAAGTAGGTGCAGGTGAGTAAGGTGCATTCTCAGCAGTTATGTTCTCTACAGTTGCTGCTGAAAACACTGTTAGTGAGCACTGAGCCATGCTCCTAGGGTAAATAGAGGGTTAGTTCTCTAGTCATTAGAGAAGTGAAAATTAAAAGAAAGTGTTATTTTACATTACCAACTTGGGAAATCAGAAATCCAGAGAAACCCAGTGTATGAAGGAATGGGCAATAGCTGGACTCCTCCTGCATTAATGTGGTGAAGTGATTAGGGAGAGCTTGTGGCAGTGTCTTATCTAAGTTGTGCTTGAAATCCCACTTCTGAACATAATGTCTCCTCAATTCCATGAGGGAACATACAATGATGTTTGTCACAACAATTTAATGGTCATGAAGTACTAATAGCATACCTGATATGTTTACCCTGTGGTGAACATGTTACCACTTTAGTGAAATGTGGTAGATGCACACTGTAGGGTCCTGTGTAGAGGCCAGACACTGGATAGACGTAGAGTGATATGGGAAGGTCTTTAAGAGCATGGTAAATGAAGTGCGTTATGCATGAAGCATTGTTTTCTACTTCTGTGTTACAGTTCGAGTTTTACACAAAAGCAACACATTTTAGAAGACCACAGATACAGAAGGATGATACATTAATAAATTAAAATGTGGGGGAAAGGAAAAAACTGGGATGAAAAATCAAATAGTTTGAATAGCTAAATATAAGAAGTATGACTGGGAGGCGGGATAGGAAAAGGAAAGAGTGGCATGAACCTGACATAATTTTCCTGTATACATATGTGAATACGCCACAGTGAATCTCACCATCATGTACATCCACAAGACTGGGACCCAAATTAAAATAAGATATATTCTATGTTTATGTAATTATATCAAAATGGATTTTACTGTCATGTATAACTAAAAAGAATCAATAAAAATGTGAGAAGGGCATTAGAGTGGATGATACTCATGAGGAAAATAATTAATTCAGGAAAATTATAATCAGTAGTTAAGATTCCAACTACAGAACACAATGCACAAAAATGTTGGAAAGTAATTATGCTCTGTAGGAAAGAGACTGAACTGGACTAATAAATTGTGCTAGGATACTTTCTCAAGGAAAAATAATAAATGTGTAATGTCATATAAAATATTTCTATTTCTAAATACAGAATAAAGTACCTGCAACATCAAAGCTGTCTGGTTGGTAATGTCAGGGTTTTTAGAAACATTATGAAAGACCATAAAGTAGATCAATTTTTTATATTTCCCAATGGTGGCATTAGTGATTAAAACAAAGTTTAACATCCTTAAAACTTAAAAATGTGAAGGCTTAAGTCCTTGAACAGCTTACAACTACCAACTGGCTTACAAATCCATTATTCAATTTATAATAATAATAGTTCCAAAAATTACTTACAAAAATATGCATATAATATTAAAATTTATCAGTAATAATATCAGAATAGAGTCCAGGGGAATATACTGCCAATAAAATAAAGAGAAAACTTAAAAAATGAGGCCTATGATACCTTATTCACTGGTTGCATGTGGGTCACAATTATTAGAGGACCATAAGATGATTAAGACAGGCTCATTCACATATTCACAGAGTCTGGAAGAAACAGACAATGAGTTTCTCAGGAGAAATGTCCTGGTCCTGAGGCCACATGGAGATTTTCCCCATCAGCTCTTGTACAGGAGAAACTGTTTGATACCATGAACAACATTCTCAGGAGAGTCGTTTTAGTAAATTTTATGAGATTCATACTACTGTGTGATACTGTCTCTTAAGGAACATGATTATATTAGTCTGAAGTAAGAATTAGAAAAAGTAATTTTATACAGCACAACTAGACCTGGACCTGGGATGCAACTATCTGGTTTTCTGACCTTTCTTTGAGATCACTGACTTTCTTCACAATGGTACTGTTGTTCAGACCATCTATGTTTCTGTTTTCTAGAACTGATTCTGTGATTGTTTTTAAAAAATTACATTCACTTTATGGAAATCCCCATATTACACATTTATTGCACTTTTTGGTTATAAATATTCAAGTGTATTTATGACACTAACTGTTAAAGTCATTTTGTATTGGGGATTGAACTCATGGGAACTTATCCACTGAGCCACAACCTCAGCCCTTTTTGTATTTTATTTAGAGATAGGGTCTTGCTAAGTTGCCTAGAGCCTTGCTAAATTGCTAAGGCTGGCTGTGAACTTGTGATCCTCCTGCTTCAGCCTCCCAAACCACTGGGATTACAGGCATGTGCCATTGTGCCCAGAATTTTGTGCTAGTTCTAAAGTCTATAAATTATATAACAATTTATGCATTATTTTTCAGATTTGTTGATTTTATAATGAATCTCATTTTACCATATGTTATATTTTCTCATTTGCTGAAATTGTGCAAATACTCTACAACTTTAAACAGTTATAGACCAATAAACTCATCATCAATTGGAAGTATCTTAAATCAAAAAAGCATTCAGTACAATAAACCTACTGAACATTATAGCTTACTCACACAATGTATTGTGAAATATAGAGGGTTTATGGTATAATATAGGGTGTTTATCCTGATCATGTGGCTGACTGGGAACTGTGGCTCATTGCTACTGTCCAGCATCAAGAGGAAGATTGTATTATATATCACTAGTCTGGGGACAGATCAAAACTCAGAGTACAGCTTCTTCTGAATATATGTCATTTTCATGCCATCGTAAAGTTGAAAAATCTTAAGTTGAATCATCGGAAGTCAGAGATCTGTGTTGAGAAAACAGTGAAGACAAAGTTATGCATCTCTTTTACTTTGTTTCTAATTCCATGCATATGTATTCACCTTCCTATGTGTGGCTACTAGGAGGAGGAACAGAATTATTTGGATTTCACCAAATATCTAGTTAATGTTGGATAAGGCAGAAATTTTTAAGTCTAAACTCACCACTGGTTAGTTGGTTCTGCCAAGCCATAGCTGTTCATGTCCAAGTCTAATTTCTTGGATCTCATTCAGTGTTAGATCCTGAATCATAGTTTGAGTTATCATTTAATTTCACCTTTTGAACCAGCAGTAGTAGAATAAAAAAAGCATGTTTTAGACATCTTTGTAGAGTATCAGGTTACCATATTTTTGTCTATTTGCCTCTGTGTCTTTTATTCTATCCACTGGTCTTTATGTCTGTTTTGGTGCCAATACCACACTGTTTTCACTACCACAGTTCTGTTGTATGATTTGAGGTCCAGTATTGTGATCTCTCCCCCAATCTCTTCTTGCTCAGGATTGCTTTCCCTATTCTGGGTCTCTTATCTTTCCAAATGAATCCCACAACTGATTTTTCTAGTT